AGGATTTGCTGCTGCTTTCAGATTTTGATACTGGATGAAGCTACAGCTGCTATGGACACAGAGACTGACTTACTGATTCAGGAGACTATCAGAGAGGCATTCGCAGACTGTACTATGCTGACAATTGCTCACCGCCTGCATACTGTACTGGGCTCTGATCGGATCATGGTGCTAACACAAGGACAGGTAAGCAGAAAAACTTTGTGGCTGCAGTTGCTGGTGCAGTCTGTCTAGTGGAGCCATATGTGTAAGCTGAGCTAAAGGAACAGCTGGTGGTGCACTGTAGAAAATCCTGTGTGTTCATTCACATCCTTGGCCGTAATTTTCCATCAGAGTCAACGATTTGTCTCATTATGACAAGAACAAAGCGGGCAAAATGTTATTTACGTTATGAAAACGTAACGTAAGAGACTTTGAGAAACAGTCTCTTTTTAAACAGTTTTAAAAACACCCTGGGCAGATTAATAATGTAAGCATCTCTGCTGGGGCTCGGTGGCAGTATCCCATTCTTTTCTTGAAGTAAGCCTATCAAACAGGCATATGAAAAGTACATCTCCTCCCCTCTTCAGGCTTCCATATGGGGGCTATAAACAGCTAAATCAAGTGTAGGAAGTTTGGCAAGCCTCTTTAAGGGTACAGAAGGCAGAGAAGGAAAAAACCGTAGCATCTGCCTCAATCTGTTCGCTATAGCCACTGGAGGCTGCTTCCTGCTGGATAGTCCCAGTGTTTGTCTGATGTAGTTTGAAGCATCCCAGGTACAGTATATATGCGTAAACTCACACTCTTACAGCCTTATGTCTCATCTAAACAAGACTTTGTCTCAGAAAGCATTTTTCTGAAATACAGTCTGGATATTCTGAATGTCCCTCGTTCTTGGCAATTTATAGCCTGAGCTTTCTTGGTTCCTTCTTGCTGTTTGTATTCTACTGGCATGCAGAGACTTACCATGCAGTAATAAGGAGACACAAATCTACTTTTGCATCCTAAGTCAGTAGGAAACTAGGAGCCATACTCTGGTTTCATACTCGGGTTGATGCGGGGAGCCAGTCAGGAGCCATCTTTAGTTTTCCAAGGCTGGAGGGAAAGGAATTGGAATTATTTTACTAACGAGGGAATTTCTTGACTTCTCTTAATTGTCCCCGTGTGTATTTGTAGAGTGACATAGTGTTCTTTAAGTAGAAAATGCTGCTTCCTTTATTTTAAATTAGGACAAAAAAAAATCTTAGCACGTCAATAAAATTACAGGACAACCAAAGCAGATTCTTTGTTTCCCCCAAAACAGCATAGCTTTCCAGGAGAAAAGCTTATTGCAGCCTGAAGCCAGACTCTAAATGAGCTTAGGACATTGTCCACTATATTTTGGCTTCTCTAGTATAGTGTCTGTCACAAGTGCAAGGGTGGGAACCCATTTTCTGTTAGATTTTACTAATGAACTTTACCTGCCTTATTTGCTTTTAGGTAGTGGAATTCGACACGCCGTCTGCCCTTCTGGCCAATGAGAACTCACGCTTCTATGCTATGTTTGCTGCTGCGGAGAACAAGGTTGCTGTCAAGGGCTAAAATTCAGGGCAAAGTCACTCTTATTTTGGAGGGCTCCACTCCCTGCCTATGGCAGGCCAGCTCTTCTTCCTCCTTATCCTTCAAGCAGATTATTGCCTTTTCATCTTTTAATTTTTAGCACAATGTGTCAAGCCAGAGAGTTTTTAAAACCCTGTCAGAAGAAGAATTCTTCATGGTTTTATTACTGTATTTATTCCATAATCATATTACTACATTTTTTTGGTTATTAAATGCACTCTACAAATGGCTCAGGGAGCCATAGTTATAAATGTATCAGAGGCCTATAATGAAGCTTTATACATGTAGCTATATCTATACATAATTCTGTATATAGCCTATATTTACAGTGGAAATGTAAGCTGTTTATTTTATATTAAAATAAGCACTGTATTAATAACAGTGCATATTATTTTCTATCATTTTTGTACAGTTTATGGTACCAGAGATCTGGCTTTGTTATCAGACTGTGTAAGACACCATTTTTGTCTCTTACAGTTGGTCTTTTCCTAGTGCCAGATTTTCTGCGTGTCTGAGTGGAAGTGAAGCTTTGCAATAGTGTCTTTTATTGTCCCATCATTGTTGTCTAGCGCAGGGGAGAAGAGCTCTGTTGTGTAACTCTATTGCATTGTAATTTATCAAAGCTATTTGGAGCATTGCTAATGTTCACCATGGCAGCAGCTGCTGCTTCCCATGATGCTTTCCCAAAGCAGGGTTTTGGTGATCTCCTGAGTGGTCTGGGGAGAGAACCACTTCTGGGTCACGTTAAGGCCTCATTTTCTCAGTGTTCTGATACAGTATTTTTTTTTTTTTACTGTATCAGCAGGGTTTATTTTAAAACAAGCGAACCCAAGCTCTTCCTGCTTCGCTGATCCAACACGTGACCAGAATCTAAATGTTCATGGAATGAGCTATAACAAATTAATCATAAGGTTCAAATCATACCCTGTATGCTAGCAGGAAAGCCTTTTCAGAGTTGCTGTAGCTGACTGCCTCTTTTATCTTGAATCTGCTAATGTTCCTCAGAGGTTTAGGTTGGCTTTCACTGGCATGGGTAACACTAACCCGTTGTTCTGCTCACTTATGCTAAGGTTAAATTACATCAATATTTCCTGTTTCTTTATTGCACACTGGTTAAGGAAACAGTCCCCC